CTCCCGCCTGCCGACGAGGGCTTCTCACCTGATGGGAAGCAGAGAGTGGATCTTAAAGCGTGGCTGAGAACAGATGTTGCTTTCACGAGACTGACTTCATCTCAGCCTGGCCTGGCTCCGCATGCAGAGTGCTGTTACATCCCCGGCAGGTGACACGCAATAAATTGGGCAGAAGAATGATGTGATTTTGAGGGTAGAAGGTTATAGCTCCGGTTTATTTTTATCAGGTGTTTTAAAGTAATGGGGGAGCAGATCTGATTTCACTCTGAGCTGCTTTGTTTCTTTTGCTCTGCAACGAGCTCTTAGCACGGCATCAGGATTGCTGGATGCTTTCCATGGCCTGCTTCTCGCCCTGGCTATGAGGCACGGGGATGTTGGTGGTGGCAGACCCATGGGCTGATAGCAAGGCAGGCACATCTCCAGCATGCAGCAGCCAGGCTCTCCAAGCATCTCCAAGAACTGTGACCCAAAAGGGCTGCAGCCACCAGGAACCTGCCTGCAGGGAGTAGCCTGTCCCTGGTCCTCCCCTTGCCCTGGGTCCTTGCTGCTGCGTCTCCAACAGAGCCTCATTCATCTGATGATACCCTGAACTTTGCCTGCTTTTTGCCTAAACTAGTGCCAGCTTGTGGTTTTGTCAGTCTTTGATTGCCCCCTAGAAGTTACAAGTTGGGGAAGCAGTGACTTGCTGCATCCTCTTTTTCAGGAATCCCTAGAGCTGTGCAAAAATACACCTTTGCCGCAAGGTCCAGGTCACTCAACCTGTGAGTTGGCAGAAACCTTTGCTCCAGGCTTTTGTCTTCCACACAATAGCTGATGACATATACCTTGCCTTTTGGTCTGCTGTGGGTCACAACGATGACATAAACTATCGCTGCCTACATAATTAATCAATGTAATGAGAACTCCTCCATGCGGTAATTATCTTGTCCCCTTTGGCCACAGCCTGTGGGATGAAATAAGGATGAAGTCACTGAGATTTTCTCTTGACACCCAGTTCATTAGATTTTGGTAGACACTGAGTGTCTGTTGGCTTTCGAAACCAGGCAGTCAGAACTGTGTCCATGTTGGAGCCTTCTATTTGCAGGTTTCGTAATGCTACAAAAGAGATACCATTCTCCATTGAATGCTCCAAAACTCCCAGTTTAACTCTGTGTCTGGATAAATGATTTTAAAAGGTCCTTATATTTGCCAAATAATTTGCTATATAGAAAGATATGTCCAACTAGTTATGCAATTACCATTATTAATGGTAATTTTACAAGATCAAAGGAACCTTATTTTACAGTGGAATTTTTAACTGATGAGACTTATGTGCAGTTTCTCTCCCTCGTCTTTAAATAGAGGTAGAGTTCATTCTGCCAGTGCTTTGAGAGACCAAATATCCCGTTTATCAATTAATAATGTCCATCTGGATTACGTCCCCCTGCATTTCCATGGATTTTTATCAAAAGAGAAAAAAAAAAAAAAAGCTGTCTGAACCTGATTGTATTGTTTTTGAAATCTTTGGAAGCCCGGCTGTTCTTCCCTTGTTTGTAGCACCTACTAGTTATGGGACTTCAGGAGTGCAAGTGGAGGACAGATGAAGGGAGGAGGCCGTGTTTGTGAAATCCTCTTTTGATGTGCAAGAACAACCAAAGTAGGGTTCCTGAAAAGCGCTACAAGCCAAAAACTCCACCGAGACTGAACATCTCAAGAAGATGAAAGTCTTCCTCCCAAATCTGTTGTCCCTGGGCTGAGCTTTTGATGTGACGCAAGAAATGTCGGATGTATCTGAAACCTGGGAAGTTTATGCTGGCAAATGCAAAAGGGGGGAGGTGGGACTGAGCCCCAGCTGATGACCCTGTGCGTGAGCAGGTCCTGCAGTGAAGAGCCAGGGTTGGAGCTCGTGCCAGATGCTGTACACGCGTGAACCTAGAGGCTCTGCAGAGCTTGCAGGGCCCAGGGTTGAGTTTCTCCAGCAATAACCTCTGCCTGTGGCTGCAAGACCCTTGGCTGGTGCTGTGAGTTATCCCTCCTGCATTCCTCGCGTGTAGAAGCACAACAGCCCAAATGTTTCGCTGGCTTGAGGCCATCCTTCACCTTCTTCAGTGCTACACAAACCAGGAGAAGAGGCCTTGCTGTCCTCTACAGCCATCGACCCTGCCTGACACCTCCAGAGAGTGTTCAGCATCTGGTTCTGCTCTGTCCTGTCTGCAGAGGGTGATGAACATCCCTCACAGCATCAAGATGCATTGCAGTCATCTCGGTGGTGTCACCAGGATGTTTTCTGTTTTCATTCTCCATTTTCCTAATAGCTCTTGTAACTCTAAATAGCAGCATAGTAGGCAATGCTTGGAATGAGGGTTTCCAAGCTGCTCGATCTTCCTGAGTGGGTTTTATCCTCCCCTCTCCTGCAACCACATTGACTAGAAATGCCAGGACTCTAATATCGAGACTTTAATACGTTACATATTTTGCTAATTCGCTTTCTGGCTGAGAAGCTCTGTGGTATCATTTTCTAAAAGTTTACTCAGAGGGTTAGAAATATCCTTTTTTTTTTTTCAAAAGTTTACTCAGAGGGTTAGAAAAATCCCCCCCCCTTTTTTTTTTAATTTAATGAAAGTGGGAATTCTCCTCGGGTCCCTTGACTGTGGCAATGGCAGCTTTAAGAAAAACAGAAAGTGGTAGAAAATAGATGACTGATACTTTTACAGTAGTGCCCAAGGACCCGTTTGTGCTGTGGGTTGTACAGCTTGTGATGGGACATTCCTTGTTGAAAGGGTGCATAGTTTGAAGATTTGGATGAGGCTAAATCCCTCATGCTTTTCTTGCTGTAATTTGGCCCTTTGAATCCCACAGATGTGAGAACTGTCCTTGCTCTGTTGTACTTTTTTGAGCACCCTTTCAAGTCCTAATGACTCAAGTCCTAACTAGAATTTCGCAACAATTCCAAGAGAGATTTTCTCAACCTGAATTGCTTTGTGCCCAGGGAAAACAAGCTTATTACTATGGCTTGAACTTTAAAGACCGTTAAGTATATATAGTCAGCTTATAAAAGAGCAGACTGGATTATTCTGTGCATGCCTTTAAATCTTTTACAGCATTTATCAGCAGAATACTCATTTAAAACATGTTGTTTTAATGAAAAGGATACTGCTGCCACTGTTTTGTGTTGATTATGTGGTAACACTTTTTTATTATCACCCATAAAAATGATTTGGAACGGCTCCACTCCAGATGCAACCTTCGGCAGTGCAGCGCTAGCTCCGGAGGGGCCCCAACCCCAGCAGCCACTGCCAGAAGTTTTTGCTTTTTGCTTTCTTACCATTCAGAAAACAAGACCCTGGATGGGTGAATAAGGATCCTTGCAATGAAGTAAGCATCTTGCTTGTCTGCCGCAGCTGAGGTTAGGTTCTTTCTCACTTAGGCTGTCTCCCAGTTTAATTAGTTTCCAATTCCCTCCCATCAGGCTAGAGCATTTTGCAGCAGGTTCATTATTTCTGCCTCTGCTGTAACTAGCTCTCACAATAAATAAGTGATAAACTCCACAATAATTGCAAGCTAAAAACAAACAAGCAGAGCCAAGTCACCCTCATTTATACTCGCAGCATGACTTCATTATGTGAAGGCAAACATGGCTAGTAAAAGCTAAAAATTGTCAGGATTTAGTGGAACATTTGAGTCGTATTCTCTTTTATTTCCCTATCTCCAAATCTGTATTTGTTTAAGTGGTTTCCCAACAGGATGGGACAGTGTTGTAGCAAATGGCTTTTACATTGAGCATGTGAGTGTGGCTAATGCAGTGGCTGTGGACTCCAGACTACTCCTCAACTCTCTGTATTCCTATTGTGCAATTGGGTTAAGTCTCAGTTTGTGTCAGGGCACCCATGCTTGGCACTGTGGGTCAATGTTCCTGATCAGTTTGTAACTGAAATCTTTGATTGGTTTGTAATCGAAATCTTAGTTTGGCTATTCTTTTTTAAAAAGTCACACAGACTCTTTTGTTTTCTCACCCTTGCCTAATATCATGTAGGTTGGGAAAAATATGTATATTTATAAAGTCCTAATCATAAGAGAAATCTAATTTAACCTATATTGGTAGTAAAGTGCACTGAGTGCTCCCCTGGGCTTATCCTCAGCTGCTCTTGTCAGTCCACCTGGCTCTAATGTCCTGCACTTCTCATGAGCACTTGGGCAGTTTGCAAAGTGGCTGCCAGGCTCCAGGCCACTGGTGGCCAAGGAAGCAGAGTTTGCTGAACAGGAGTCTAAACCACAGAGCGAGAACGGGATCACTTTGCCAAGAGGCTTAGGTCGTAAATGGCCCAAATAGCTGAGCGACACACATGGGGAGGGGGATTCACTTGAAGGTAGTGTGTTTACAAGATACAGAAACAGCTGTGACTCTTAGTAGTATCCTATTGCTGCTAAGAAGTGCTTTGAGGTAATTGCTTGGCTCTTTTTTATTCATTCCAAAATTAAAACACTTCAGCTCTTTAAAAGCTTCATGTTCTCGAGCTTCTTTAATTTGTTCACATTTGGACTTTGACTTCCAGACAGAGCTTGTCCTGCAGTATGTCTTTTTATTACCCAGGACATTCTAAAGCTCTTCAGCTTGGATCAGCTTTCAGTCATTCCTGGGTTTGACCAGGTAACCTAGGAGAGGCAGGCTCTGTGCCCCAAAACCTGCTCCATGCTCTGCCAGGTTTAGCTTTTCTCCCCAAGGAGAGGATCCTGTGCAATACTGAGCATCTCCACAAGTAGCACAGCACCCACTAAGGAGGATGTGCAGCTTCAGATGGGAAGCTTGAGGCACTGATAATAGCAGCTTCTTACCCTAATTCCTGCCAGCTGCTAGAAAGCCACAGGTGCTTTAATACCAAAAAGCTGCCACCTGTGATGTGTGGTTATCCACAGCTCCTGTTGGCAAGGTGAAGAGTCCCCAAACCTCAGCATCTCTCTGAAGTGAGCTCCCACATAGAGCCATCCTGCTTACTGTTTCCCTTCCTCCCTTTCCTATCTAGATTCTTCTACTGGAAGCGGCGGAGCAAAGCCCACCTTTGGAAAACAACTTGCCGATCACTGGAACCACGGCCACGTGGTATGACGATTTGCTGCCCGATGCCTTCCCTCTGCTCAACCCTGACACTGTGTTGCGGAAAGCAGGGGGATCTGTTGGTAAGGAAAACCTCCCGCCCGGCCTCAGCGCTGTCCCTGCAGGGCAGCTAAGCGAGAGGCCCAGTCGTGGCAGAGGGGTCTGTGGGAAATGCTGCCTAGTCAATCAAGGAGAAGAGGGTGAAGA